CCCCAAAACCCCAAAACCCCAAAACCCCAAAACCCCTCTGCTGAGCACCGATATGGAAAACTACTTATTCCACTAAAACCTTCCTCAAATTTGGAACACTCTCAGATATAATGCAACATAGAGACTGGGATTGCGCCCTGGTATCGAAGGCTGATTTTTGGGTAATATTTTGGGTTTTGAAATTAGTGATTAAGCCTTCTGATAGTGGAATAGACCATTTTTTAAGATCTGTTGTGTGTGATACAAAAATTTGGGTAGAAGGGATATCTTTGAGGGTCTAGATCAACCGCTGTATTTCACTACCGAAGTTGAGGATCTGGCTGTCCCGGCTTGGAGAGTTATTCCCATGTCTGTTCCGCTGGTTTGCATTTGGTGTATCGAGTAATCTGACTCCAATATCAATGCCATCTTGGGAATCATTTAGCTGTTCTCTCCTGAGCATGTCTAACTCCCTGTTAACAATGGAGAGGATCTTGCTCTCCTCACCTTCAGCATTAGACTGGATGTCCTGCACCTTATCTTCTTCCCTCGGATTCATGACTATATGGTCGGATTGCCATACATTGTTCCTCCTAGTGTCAATAATAGCCTGAGGGTTATTCTGGAGAGCTAGATTTGTCGCCCTAGGCTTTTTCAAAGTACTGATACGCCGATTAGGAGGCTGGACCTTGACTTCATACTGATCACTCCTCTTCTTCTCTTCTTTTGCAGCTTCTCTAGGCCTTGCATCAGGGTTAGCATCTCTTGCGGAAGGATTGGCCTGCGAGTTATTTGGGCTTCTTGAGTTCCTACCCCTTGATCTATCTCTTGGCTTATCTCTTGACCTATTCTCCTTGTATTCCTGCATTGTCAAGGCAAATAGAGTGTGCTTATTGCGATATTCGTTATTTCTAGCATTTCTTCCTTGAGCTTGCCGCTTAGCATCTATTATCTTGAAGAATAACTTGAGCTCTTTTGGGAGATAGTCGGAAAGCTATAATTTAAAATTCAAAATAAATTATGTTTTAGAAAATTCATGTTTTGGAGAACCTCAAAGTACTCCTTAACCAAAACTATGATAGAGTAACAGAAGTTGAATAGAACTTACCAGTTCATAGCCCATAAAAGGGTGAGGTTTGTAGCTCGTACCGCTTCCAAACCATTTCTCGCAGCAATTCTCTTTAGGTGTATGTAGCTTAAACCTCATTACAGTTCAACCAGATTGGATAATCAGAGAACTGGTTATTTTCAGAGGTTTTCTAAAGATCCTCAAAGTTCCAAATTTAGACTGCAAATCCATGTGATAAAATTTGCTACCGTATGAAATAATTTCAGAATGGAGTCTTGAAACCGAATTGTCTGGGATTTTCAAGTTTGCTTCCCTACATCTGCCAACAGTAAGGGTAGGAGTGAGTCCAAAATCAAGCACATGGATAATCCGGCTCTTTTCATCAGAGTGGCTATAAGTCTCTAACACTACAAATTTTGATCCCTTCGGAACATGATAATCGAGTAATTTATTTCCTAAATAAGCAAGTTAAATTATATAACCAAATGATAGTTTAATATATGCTTACATGAAATCTCCTTGCCTTGCACAGTAAGAGCTTCTGGAAGCTGATCTTTGCAAAGCTCGCATGTCAGATCTTTCCAATAATAAGTGCTCACGTGAGGATAGTTATTTAACCTTCCTTTTACTATCAACCCAGGCTTTTAGTCATAGATAATGCATGTACTTCATCGTTCCTAAAAGTTATGGGAGTCCAGTACCTGATCAGCTGCATGGTGATACAAGAGCATTCTCGAGATTGCCTTTTGCTAGCTCCTCCTCGACATCTCCATCACATAGGCAAATTCTTCATGCGAATTGCTCCTTTGAATCTAGTAAATTAGAAAGTAAAATACCATTTTCCTCCTCCTTCACTGCTTCTTGAGGCTTTTTAACTTGCAATGCTTTTTCTGAATTTGAAAGCTTCCTATTTGCTCTCTGAAGAGACATGGGCGCTCGCAGGTATGAAGGAGTCCTCGTGGAATTATCTGAGCGAGGACGATTTGGCTCCAAATAATTTCCTTGTAATCTCATACTATGATAGTTCAATGCGTCCATTGCAGAGGTTGCTCCAAGCACACCTTCTGCAATGGTGTTATCCATCATACTTCGAGGACTGCCTTCATGAGAAGGCGCTTCACTTAATAAAATTGGGTCTTCTGAGGTCTCTCTCACGTGATAGCAGATTCTTCCAAACTTGATGAAGTCACCTGCCTTAAATTCATTCCGAGCATACCTATTATTCCTGAAATCCAATCTTTGCTCGACCTGGGACATAATATATCATGCTAAGCCATTAGAATACTTAATAAGGTCTTTATTCAGCAGGGATCTAGGCTGATATACATAATAATCCCTCTGATAGTACACAACAGCAGCTATGATGCGTACATCACGGGCCAAATTTGACTTATCAATTTCATCGACATTGGCTATATACACATCCTCTTTCTTCCTTCAGACGTAAAATCATTTAGCAGATTTCACGGTGAAATGTTTAGGAATAGGGTTATTAGAATGGTAGTCAAATAGTTCTAGAGACTCATTACCAGCTGTAACAGTCTTGATGCTAAGGTATTTAGGCTCTTCCATCTGAGTAAACTTTGTATCGTAGTCATACTCATCACTTCCTATGTTCCCCATTTTATAATAGATTATTGTTTCAACCCTCTGTAACATATTTGGGGTTTTGGGGTTTTGGGGTTTTGGGG